TCGGGGGGGAACGGAGAGGAGAGGATATAAAGTAGATGAGGTGACGTGTATAATATCAAAATGCGGATGGTCGTAGTTGGCTCGATTTTCACGGGGGCTTTTGGGTTAGAGGTCGCCGCTGTCGCCCTTTTGAAGACGTTGCTTTAATCCGAAGGGGTCGCGGGTGTTGGAGGAGGAGGCGAGGTGAAAGGTGGGTTACGTGCCCAGCATTCGCGCCCCTGCGCCCCCACCTCCGCCCTCTGGGCTTCGCCCGGCTTAATGGGCACTGGTGTCCCGGGTATTGACTTTCGGCCGAAATACACCGCAAGCAAATCAAACAAAACATACACTCTCACACACAAAAATACAGTAGGCGAAAAAAATAAAACGGAATAAATACTCATTATTTTCGACCGGCATTGTTTAATTGACATGTTTTCCGCCGAATTATAACCGAATAGAGCGCTCGAAACAATAGATTCGAATTAAGCGTGTTACATTTTTTAATGGAGAAAAACAGTGAAATAAATTACAACTACTAAATTTTTGACAAATATATTAGTTTTCAAATAAAGTTTAGAATTTTCAATTCTATTATTGTTTTCCGGTCAAACCGGAAATGTTTGTGCAGTGAAATTCAGGATAATTTCAATATTCGTATTAATCTTGCGCTAATTGCATAATTTTCACCCGTAATATCGGATATAAATCTGGGTCGGAAAAAATGAAAATCGGTACGCGATATCGAGGTGAAATGCACACACGTTAACGGCAGATTGGTTTCGGGGGGAGAAAATTTCCTCGGGCGACGATTTCGCGTATAACGAGGTGCCCGTTAAGACGCTAACGTTATTGCAAAGTATAGAAAGTCGATGGGGCCTGGCTGGGAACGACGGTGCGCCCCCGTTATACGTTTTTTATTAACAATAAAGCGGAGCAATTAGGAAAGATGGCGCCACTGTACTTACACCGCTCCGTTGATTCAGCGATCCTTTCGGAACGACCCCACGATCCATTCACTTTCTCAGATATCTGCAAAACGAAAAACAATGTAAGAAACATCATCTACAATGTTAATTAGAAGAGCAGCATTCGCAAAATACGAAACAACATTTAAGAATCTAATGAGGACCGAAACCTTTCTCTTTCACGTAACTAACATATTTTCTTTCGAAGGCAAAAGCAATTTCCGTTGCGGACATTATTTTCAATGAACGGACGGCTATAATTTTCCATTAAAATTAACGCGTGCGAGGCGGGATCCGTAATCAGTTTAGTGGATGCTTTCGCCTTCTTCTCGTTCATCCACTCAATGTGTTCTTTCTTTCCTTCTTTTCATTTTTGTTGCTTTTCTCTCGCAACGAAATTCCTGGACTCTCCACTCTGCCCCTAATCTAGTGAAGATAAAAGAGAGAAGTGTAAGTAGAACGTAAGTGGTTTCCCTTGTTCCTCGCAACACGATACACGATCCCGGCTCCACACATACACACACCCACCGCAAACGCCCTCCTTTCCTTCGGCACCCAACAACGTTTGCAATAGTGGGTAACAATTTTGTCCTCCTCTGCATTCGAGGCGCATACATTTTGGAATCAGGATAATGGTTTTAGCGTGATGATGATGAGGATGTTAATGATGATGATGGTGGTAGTAATGAGGATGAACGTAGGGTCCATTAACCGACCTCGTGTGATATTTAAATGCGACACCCCGAGGGCAATTGTCCGTCTGCATAGCAAATGCCAGCCGGAACTGATAAAAATTTAAACGCACGCTTTCAATTCAACCCCTTTCACCTTCCAACCCGACACAGGAACTTGGACACAATAGACATTGTTTAATTAACCCCTCCGCATATCCTGAATGCCGACAGATTCGCGCACAAAAACTATTATTGAAAAGATAAAATGCGCCATTCGAATATTAAATTATCCATACAATTTTTTTTATAAAAACTTTTCATCATTTCGTTTAATCTCGATAATTATTGTTTTTTTGAAAAAAACTTATTAGACTTTTTGACTTCTCGTATATTTTTATATGGAAATCGCCTAAAATAAAATGAAAATATGCTTATTTAAACTAAGTTTCCGGGTAAACCGGAAAATATTTTTATTTCAAAAATCGCTCGCAAACTATATATTAAGACTATCTGTATACAATTTGTTAAGATTAAGCGATTTTCCATCGCGTTATGTAATCCTGTTGCCATGTCTTAGCGCCCTAATCGCTACAAATCCTATTTCTCGCAAGATGAATTTGCGCGATACATAGTCGACAAAACTTTTCATCCATCATCCATCCGTGAACGGCGCACAAAAGAAACAGCGAACATGATAAGTTACATAACTTACGCGTACAAGCAAAATAAAAGCGGAATGATAAATGCTTCGAAGAAATCGTTACATAATCTACAACAGAACGAAGGTTGTTGCAATCGAACGATCTGGGCTCGTCGATCATACTTTTTAGGCGTTTCGCATGTTCTCCTCCGCACTGTTTGTGCAATTTCGAATCGACTACAATTGTTAATTCTCGTCCATCTCCCCTCCTCATCCCCGCAAAACTGTAATAGCGAAATCTGGTTTAATCCGACGGATTACGCCGTCCGAACATTCGCCGATCCCCTCGACCGGAAACCGCACACGAAATTACGCGAAAATATCACATTCGAATTGGTGCATGCGGTCAACGACTCTCCATTCGAAAACGGTGAAAATAGTTTTTGAAATTAACAAAATCAATTTAGAACGCCATCTATGTTGCGGCAATGTAACCGACGTAACAGACATCAAATTAGATTCGTATAATATACTTTTACGGCGCATTAAATTACTTAATGAATGCTCTTAAAGCGCCACTTAAATGGCTTGTTTTTGCGTAAACGCCGCAATAAAACGTTTACCCGTTTGTTTTTACCCCAAAAACGTTTGTTCTCGATTTAATCTGTCAACGTGATGAAACTGTCATATTAAAGCAAATATATACATAATATTTATATAAAAACTAACTTCAAGTAATCTAATGCTGACATTCACTAATTCCATATAAATTGAAATCTAAACCAAAAACAAACTAACAAAAATGTGATTGTCAAATTATTAAAGCTATTAAAAACGTTATTCTTTTATTTGTTTAATAGAATTGTTGACAGATTGTAGTGAAATTAGAGAGGTAAATGAATTTTGTTGAATCAATTATGAATAGCTTTTTTATTGGAGCAATAGAAGCGAAATCGATTAATTTCGTTCGGAAAGCAATAAATTACCTGAAAAACGGCTTAATCGCACGCAATCCATTTGTTTTTTGGATGTGGTCAATAATGAGTATGATTGATGCTCTATAGTCAATAAACATGTAAATTCTATTTAATTGAAAACGTAATAAATAAGTATTTTTGAAATTACAGCAACGCTCATAATAAGATCTAGTTAATTGATGTCATTTTACGTCAATCCGTCAATTGTAAAAAAAAATATCTGACAGTTGCATTACATAACCTAAACATGTCAAATACACATTTGACTTGATCATTTATTTTTTTAACGTGATTTATGTCAATTGATGTTTAAATAAAAAGTAATAAAATTTAAATTTTGTGTAAAGTTTAATTAATAAACTGCGTACAAATAATAATAAGAACTAAAATATGACATAATTATAATTGGGTTATGCTGCTATTAAATTATAGGTTAATATACGTTGGACGTATGATTAAAAAAATAGATTACGTTTTCATTTATAATTATTGTAAAGAATGTTTATTTCTTGGAGGAACTGCAGATTGGTCGATTGAGCCAAGGTCACGGACCAAAAAAAAAATGTATCGAGAGAAAAGAAATGAAAATGTTCATTACAAAAGTTGGTGATATCAAACGAATTTAACTTACCGATTCGAATTTAAAGATAGATTATGCGTAATCACAGGTAGTCTCTAATCGCTCTCGTATTTTCCTCTCCCTCTCTATCTCTCTTCTACTTTGTTTTGGTTGGCCTAGGTCACTAGATTAATTATTGCGCTTACGGAATTTTCAGTTTTTGGATTTTCCGATTTACGTTTTTAATACGACTTTTTTTTTTTGGGTCAAAAATAATGAATTTTTTGGGTTTTGCGTGTTCCTCGAGGAAGTGTCACTCGCGTCGCGACGCCGAAGCTGCGAGCGTCTACGCGGTCGGAAGGAAGGGAAGTGAGGCAGTCGGGGCCCGGCCCCGTTCGGTTGCCGCCGCCTCCGACCGTTATTGATTTTTCGATCGGAGGCGGCGGCGGTGGTGGCGTCGGTGGCGGTGCCGGTTCCGCCGCCCCTCTTCAAACGGCCTCGGAAGCCTTCGCCGCCGCCGCCGCCGCCCGCGAAGGAGTCACATCAGAAACGTACGGCCATTATCGAGCAGAATGGCCCCCATAAATACGTTCAGGTATAATTGAGAAACTAACGGCCGCCGTCTCTTTCCGCGCGCAACGAGATGAAAAAATTACGGATATATGAGGCGGCGAAAGTATAAGCAAAGAAAAAAACATTTGGGGGTGGGACTGAAAGGTGTATCTATATAAAACTAGGAGAGGTGAGAGAGAAGGGGGTGGGGGTGGTAAATATGATGCTCCAAAGAGCATCCATCCGGATAGGCCATGTATGTTGAAAATTGCGGCCACCGGGAGTGAGAGATGGCGATACCAGATGGCGATGCAGTGGAGAAGGACACAGAAACATGCACGGAGGGCGGAGATCGATTTTCCGTATAGAGAGAGGGGTTGAAGGTGGTGGTGGTGGTGGTTCCATTCATGCATTACGTCAACGGAATTCCATAAAGCCGCGGGATTAATTTTATTTCGTCGCGCGATTATCCCGCGAAATATGCACACACGATTTCGAAATTTAATTTCGAAACGCCCGGAAACAGCCTCTACCCCTCTACACTCATCAGCGCTAACGGCACCCCCGCCCCTCAAAAACCCGAACAAATACGAAATCAATACGAAACAGGGCCAACTCCTAATTTTTATTTATTAATTTATAAAATGTCATAATTACCCGATCGCGTTTTACTCAATCTAAACTTTTTTCAGTTATTTCGTTTTACGTCAGAAACCGGTCATTGGACTAGCCTTGATTTGAAAGAAAAACACGTTATATAAGTCACAAGTGCCAAAATATTAACATCAACAACAAATGAAAACTAGAAATAAAAATATCTTGCTGTGATCTGTAATTAGTTCAAAAACCCTAGTTTTTGTTGTTATTCATCGTTCTTGTTTTGTGAGAAATTGCATTTCGATGTCGTACAATACAAGTTATGTTGTGTATTGATCATTGGGACATTATGCTAATGTTCAATGTATTGTAGTGACATGGAATGTGCCCCGAATACGAGCAACCATTCGTGCACACGCACAGATGTATATCGATGGTCGTCGTGTTTTGTAATTCCAGAGACATCTCTTCGAACGGGTTCATATTAAAACAAATAAAAAAAAACACTACAAGGACTTTCTATGCTCGAGAATGTTGTCCTTCATATTTTAGATGAAAGATAAGAAAAATGTGCTCCATTTGCAAATCTAATTTAATCTTAACTTAATGATGAAACTACTCGAAAAAATACTCTCGTAAGTTGATGCACGTGCAGAACTGCTGGTTTGGTTGTCTAACAAAAAAAAAAAGAAACAGGAAAACTGCTATGCTCTATATGAATTCGATGCGTGCGTGTATCGGTGGCAATTCGTGCAAGAATTCAGATGCCCGCAGATATTGAGACAAATACACAATTTCCAATAAAACCGGGATATCCGGAAAGCAAACAAACATACAATAAGGGTGACACACACACACATATAGACGAACAATGGGTGAAAAGGAATAAACGTGTCTTCCGAAAGGATAGATAGAAGGAGATGGCGGTATGCAAGGATGTGCGCGGAAGAGGGATGGAGATTGTGGGAGAGATACGGGTTGGGGAAAAGCGAAAATATGAGACGGGAAAACCACCCAAAAAAAAAGGATATCAGCGCTTGCTTCATTGAAAGTTATCTTATATATCTCTCTCTCTATATATATATATATACATTCGTATCAAAAGATGGGGTGAGCGAGAAAGATAGGGAACTTTCATCTTGCTGATGTTGGTATATGTATTTTACTAACAAACAAACAGACGAAAGTGTCAAATTTTGATACAAAAAAAAATATAACAGGATTCGCTGGCATAAAGAAAATATGCGAGATGAAACAAGTGCAACAACTTTATAATATTTAATAAAAAAGTAACAGTATATGCAATAACGAATATATAAAATGTGTATTTACTACATTGTTAAAAAATGAAATCAAACAGTAAATGCGATTTACATGTTTCTGATATAATCATTAGTGGCATATTTGATAATACGTAAACAGCTGATTTTGACAATTGTTTGACAAAATTAATTCACTTTCTTTAATTGCACTTTGACATTCTCGAATATAATTAAACATTTTCATTACAATAATAATTGTGATACATGCATGTAATGAATAATTTTTTTTGTAGAAATATATAAATTTACTCAATTTTAATTATAATCAAAATATGTCAAAATTATACAATTATTGCAACATTTTGTTTTCCGCCATCTAATGACCATTAACCTAAACTGTTTGTTTGACATAATCAATCAGTTGCTTGTCAATCATATTTGACATAATGAAGATTCGGTTATTTCATGCTGTAAATTACACTTTCGCCAGTTTCGAAATGGCTTTCGGTCTTTCTGCAAAGATCTAGGTGTGGTGTCACCACACTTCACTCTGCAGGCCATAAAGCGTCTCGGGGACAGCTTTATACTCGCAGTCTGTTGCCGGTCGTATAGTTAAAGCTCTAGCTGAAAACAGTTTTCAGTTTGCAGTTCGCACACACACACATACAGAAACACACGCACGCAGCGAGAGATCCGGTGAATTATGCATCCGACATGAAAACTTTACCGGCAAAAAAAAAGATACACACTCACATAGAAAAAAACAACCCTGAGAGGAAACGAACGAACAGAAGAAAAAATAAATAGAACACGAACGCCCGGCGCATCCACCCCAGACGCACGACGACAACGACGCTTTTAATTAGAGCCTTTCTCTCTCTCTATCTCTTTCTTTCTCGATTTCTCTTCCTATGTTTTTTCTCTCTCTCTCGCTTCGCTTCCTGCAGATATTAACAGGACTCTGTTCTCGGGACGTGTGCAATAATACAAATAAGATACGTGCGGACAATGATTAAAGCGCAATCCTTTCGTCCGTAAATAAACGTTATAAATGCTTCATCCTCATTTTTATTTTGCTTTAAAATTGTGCCGCAGCGTTAAATTAGATCCGCACACCTAGCCGCTCTTATTAATCTCCGTCCTCGCCTTTAATTCGCGAAAATCTAATTAATACCGTACAGAACGAACGGAGTTAATCTAGTTTTGTTTTATTTTATTTTTCTCTCTGTCTTCTATTTGCGAGCATCGATCGATGTTTTCGCAACAACGGAGATGGATTTAAGAAAAAGAAAATAATACGCTCTCAACGTGGGGGTAAATTATTATCACCTGCTGAAGATCTTTTTTTTTTCTTTTTTTGGTGTGTTTGGTGTGCAGTGATTGCCTTTGGGAATAACTTTCTTCGCCTTCGGCCGGTGCATCACGAATGCATGAGAGCGGATTGATGAAGATATCTGCGAGAATCTCGCCGCGGGACGATTTTCGTGAGGCGGTAGATGGCGCCTGCCGAGTTTGCTGCCCTTTTTGCCCAGCTCCCCACCACCGCTGCTGGAGTCGACAATGCGAAGAAGATTGGGTGGGATGGGATGGATATCAGCATGGGAAAGATAACGCCAGACGGCCTCATGCAACTTTAAAATTTCATTCCAAAAAGGAAGTACGCGGCACTCGAACGAATGAAATGGAATTGTCTCAAATTGTTACAAAGGCGGCGTTCTTTTAAACTTTACCCGCATGCAACCCAAATACACACACGCAAACACAATTTGCACTGTTCGATGTACATCATCCAACTCGAATTGGGGTTTCTGAACTTTCCTCCTCGCGATAACTTCTAATCATCAACTTTAAATTTAGATTAAGACACAGTGTATCACTTAAACAGTTTGTATGTATTTTAAAAATTGTAAAGTTGGTTGTCTAATAAATCAAAATGACGTTTCGAGGTTGACAATTTGATTATGTTTTCGAATCAATAGTTTCTACAATTTCTCTTCAAACACGACTTTCGCAATTTACAGTTACGTTCAACGAATCACAAATTCTACTAAACACATTCTAAATGAACTAATTAACAAAAGAAAAATTTAATTAAACAACAAAAATATTAACACAACTAGGTTGTTTTGCCTCCATCTTGAGATTTGTTTTGTTTTAAGCTTCGTACACCATTTGTTTTCTTTGCACACCTTGATTTATGAAATATTAAAGAAAATAAACGGCGTCGCGGCGTCAACTATGGAATTTTATGAATTATTTAATAAGGAACAATAAGAAAGGGAATGGCGCGATGCTCGCGTGCCCTTTGATCGACGACCCTTTCTCTGTTCGTGCTTTTATTTATTTTAAAACTTTTTTTTTCACTTCTTGCTTCCTTCTCTTTCCTCGCATTTAATTAGTATAACAAGTGTGCACGCTTTACCCGTTTCCTAGCAAACGCTATAAATATCTAAAGTGCCTAAGAATAGGACAATCGCTAATTTTGATTGGAGCAAAATTTATAATTAAATTTGAATAATTTATATTATTTCATATAAAGTTTATTAAAATGACTAGAAATAATCAGTCAATTTATCTATTTTTAAGCAGCTTTTAAGATGTTCGTGTCTGTTGATGAGGTATATCAAATTTAGGTTCATAATTTTGTTAAAATCCAAAGTTAGTTTACAGTAAAAATTCGGAAAAATTGAGGAAGCTAAAACTTTAATATTTTCGTTTCTGCTGTTGAGAATATGTAAAATTGATGTTCGTTCGTATTGAGAATGGGAATATCTCGAATGCGCGTCTGAATTTCCTTCTATTTTTGTGACTTTATTGGAAAAGGTAATTCATTGAAATATTCATGGTTGTTTCTTCATGTATTTTTGTGTGTGTTTGTGTATGTATGTTGAACGGGCATCAGAAGGTTAATAATGAATCGATGGCGTGGCATGCCGATGACTATTCCTACCAACATGTACACTACACACTCAAACACAC